CTGAATTCATTCAGAAGTTTATCCCTATCTTCCTTCATCTCTATGATTACCTTGTTTGTGTGTTCTTTAAATTCAGTGAATTCTTTTATCATATTCATCATTGTTTTTTTGAGTTCCATGTCCTGCATTGTCTCTAGGGGATTCTCATTGTGCTCCTCTAGAGGATTACTGGTATTTGGTGGGGATATTTTATTTTGGTTTTTCATGTTATTATTTTTTCTCTGTGATTTTGACATGTGAATTTCTTTTGTAGTTTCTGACTCTTGTGTGATACTCGGGCCTTCAAGTTTAGTTCTGCTTCTTTTATTTTTGAGCTTTATGTGTCTTTGTGGTTTACTTTTTGGGTATGAAGAGCTGGTTCGTCTTAGCTTCTGGTTCTCTCTTTTGATTTTATATTGTCGAGGCCGGATTGATTTTGTCTTCAGGAGTTCCGCGGTGGCCCAACTCCAATGTGGATCAGAAGTTTTCAGACTTTCTGCTTAGGTCTGGAATCTTCTAAGAATGCTTTTGGCCTCAGGAACTTGGGTGGCACTGACCTGAGACCTTTGCCGTGGCTGCGCCACGCAGGGATGCAAAGGCAGATGGGGAGGGAAGAAGCCCCAAGATTTCCCAGGGAGTGGTTTGAGTAGCTGGGGTGTACTGGATGCAAAGGATCAGGGAGAGTAAAGGTAAGCCTCGGAGCCCCAGAAAGAGGCTGTCAGCCCCAGAAAGAGGCTGGCGGGTGTTGGAGGACCAGGGAAGTAGAGGGAGATGAGGGCAGGGCCAGGACCAGAAGCGGTGCTCCTGGAGCCCAAGAAAGGGACTGAGTTGCTCTGGGTGAGAAGGGTCAGGAAGCAGTATTGGTTCCCGAGGTGTCTGAGGCCCCAAGACTAGGAATGGCGCAGGGCCCAAACTAGGAGTATAGAAAGGCGAGGCAGGGGGATGGAAGGGTGAACGTATCTTAGGGAGTGCCGGCGCAGAGAGCTGCGCTATCGCCTTACCCCAAGAGGCATGAGGATAGTAGTGCAGGCTAGGAGAGTTAGCCGGTGGTGCAGGCCCAGGGAAGCAGCGAGAGGCGAGGGCGGGGCCAGGACCAGAAGTGGTGCTCCTGAAGCCCAAGAAAGGGACTGGGTTGCTCTGGGTGAGAAGGGTCAGGAAGCAGTATTGGTTCCCCAGGTGTCTGGGGCCCCAAGACTAGGAATGGT